AGAAAAAAATATTGTTTATTGCTTTCTTTAGTACTAATTAAGCTCTTCACTTGAAAATAAGTTATATTTTTAATCAGTCCTATCATTAGGTTTCTATTGCCCAAGAAAATTTTAGTGGTGCCATCTATATATTAAGATCTGATGTCACAGCAAAAGCTTCTAGTCTTTTAAAGGGAATTTCCCTGAAAGAGCTGTTCGTTTTCTTGCTTTAAATCATACCGTTTAATGAATGACTAAGAAAATTAATGGGATTGGGGGGGTTCCCTCACACACAAGAGTGGCCTAGCTGATGACATTGTGAAATCTGACTTCAGAAGAAGGATTTTTATTTTCTATTTTATTCTGGTAAAAGTTCTTCACGTGTATTTTGAATTCAGATAGATGCTTGAATTACTCGGGTGTAACAGAGACTGAGGAGGACTTGCCTCCTGAATAGTCAGAGGAACCCAAACTGAGAGGAACCCTAAGTAATAACTGGTATCAAGTTCTAGAAATTCAGTTATATTTGGACTTGGTGAGAAGCATCAAAGGTGCAGAGATGGCTGGTGCTATTTCAGGAGTTACCTCAGAGCCTGCATCATTCCTTCCAGTTGTACATCTGCACAAACCTGGCTGCTGGTGGAAGCGGAAAAGTGGGGAGTGACAGAGCATGGAAGATGAAATCCACAAACCTTTGCATTGTGTACATGAGAAGAAAGGGAAAGAACAGTGTGAAGTAGCTCATAAGATCGCTGTGTGGGTAATGTAGGTGTAATATATTTGGAAAATTAAATGGTTTGTAGTACTACTTAAGGAAAACAGATGAGTTTGATGCTGGCAGTATGGAAAAAGTGACTGCCCCATTCTGAAAGGGATGTCTAATAGCAGGGCAAGGCGCAAAGTGTAAATGTCAAAAGATTAGCTCTTCTCATCTGCTGCCTCAAGTTCTTGTTTAGATATGGGCAATTAGACAACAGTAGTGAGAGTTTGGCTTTTGAATGTGTTTTTTATATTTTATTACACACAAGCAGTTGTTAAAATGATAACTCTCCTAGGCCCATTCACATTTTTTGGACCCAAACCAATCCATTTCCAAATGGCCTCTGATAAACTTTATTTAGGCTGCCAATTTGAAAGTGAACTCAAAACCACACAAGGTGTTTCTAAAAGATGTGATGTGTTTTGCGTGCTGCGGTGAGAATTTTCACTGCAAGAAAAGAATGGAATCCAGAAACAGTTGTCTGACTCCCCTCACGCTCTCAGCTGAACAGAGTTGTAAATGATTTTGCTTTCTTTGTGGTTCATCTGTGTGCTGACCAGTACTGCTAAATCTGCTCTCCAAATTGCTCTGGCACCATTTCAGAGGTCAGCACGGAAGGACTTGAAGCACAGTTTCCAGAGAAGCTCAAAGGTATTCACTAACCATTTAACTTTTCTGAAGAATCCAAGCCATCAGATCTCATGGCATTGAACATATTTTCTCAAGTGAAGGGTTGGATTGTGTGACAGTGCTTGGGAACGCATTTTGTGATGAGAAAGAAAATAGGGAAATAGTTTTCTGCCAAGTCAGTAGGATGAATTAGCTCACCAAGGAGTCCACCAAAGGGTCCTTGGCCAAGAAGGAGAAAAGGCTATGTGGTCAAGAGCAGTGACAGAAAAGAGTCAGATGTGTGTAGGACAAGCAGTATATTTTCTTCTCAGTGACGCAGAGCAGCTAGATTGACTCATCTTTAATGTAGTTCTTTACCCTGGTAAAATGTAAGGCAAAAAACAAGTGATAGGAATCAATCCTAAAGGAAAAATATTGCCTGGAAGGATTAAGATGCTGAGGAAGAAGGGTTTCCTATGTGCCCATGGAAAATACTTGCAGGTTCAGAATGTGTAAGGTCCCTGAAACCAGAAACAAGGGAATGGAAACTGAATCCACAGCTAATTCTCTCTTGATGGTCTTTGTCACTGACATCTTGATTATAGATATGAAAAACTATGACACAAATCTGGCACATGGAAGAAGCAGTTTTAACTCCTCTTTCCTCACATATTTCCAGTGCTGCCTTGAGGACTTCTCAGTCCTTTGCTCTTTGCTTTTTCTCTGGACAAATGTCATTAGGAACCATAAAAATTCCCCATTTTGTGGAGCGTTCTGAAAACAAACTCATAAAAAGTAGAAGGTACTCAGACCCTCTGCTAACAGTGACCAAACTAAGACATTAGATAGATGGCATTAGGCATTAGTATCTGCTCAACAATGACAAAGAGTATTTATTTCTCCAACCCTTTTAGCTCTTTACTAAAGTATGGTATTGTCTCAAAAATATGCGTTTCTTTCCATCAAGACTTTCTAAGCTAAATGATTCATGGACGACGGGAAGAAAACCCCATATTTTAATATGATTACAGATAATTCAATTTCCATGCTGGTGATTAGCAATTAATTAGTAGCTGAAAACATTAATCCAGTCTGTGAACCACAAAGCTACAGTATATTCCAATGGCTCCAAGATAGAGCAAATCTTTGGAACCAGTTTAGTAATATAAGTAGAGCATAAATCTGACCAAAGCGATCTAATGAAAAAGTTCAAGCACAACCCAATGGTCTCTAGAAAGTTAGAATTCCAGAATAATTGAATTCAGAGTAATTTCATCCATTTGTGTGGGCTTCTGTGAAGTGGGAGATGGACAAGAGTTTTATTTCATTCTGGCTCATCTAAAGAAATCTTAGACTTTTCCTTACTGATCAGATTACTCTCAGTTTTCTGTATGACATTTTATAAGAGTTCGTTGGGACTCCCTGCTATTGTTCCTCACGTAATCTTATGGAAACTCTGGGTAGCAGTAAGCACAATGGTTTTACCACCACAATTGGTACACATTTTCCACACATGATAAATGCAAGTGATTTGCTAAATGCCTGCCAATTACATACTGTAACTTTCCCTTTTTATGCAATTATTCATACGCTGGAGACTCCAATCAACGCTAGTTCACGATTCTGCCTTTATAACAATTAAACCAGTTGTGGTATTGAAATGAGTTCTTGTATCTTCTACTGGCAGCTACAATTTTGGTTAAAAGGATGGTGAATATAATCTACAGCAGTTCCAAAAGGGGGAAGTACTGCAAGCAAATTCCAGTGCAGTTTTTTGTCTGGTTATTTGTGAAGTTCCCAGCAACTTCCATCTGTCTACCCTGGCTTCCTTGTAATAAGTTAATAGTGCAATAATGGCTGATGAACGGGGAGGGAGCAGAGGAAGCAGCAGAGTTGTGCTGAGAATGGAACGATGTGCCCGTATGATGATAAACTGATCCCATTCCATTAAATCACAAAGCTGTCTCCACTCTTCTCCTCGTCCCACATGAGCAGCTGAAGAAAAAATCATGGAATTGCTATCGCTCACTGCAGCTGTCAGGAAATGATACTAATTAGTTTAATTTGCAATAACACAAGCACTTAACTCTCCAAATAATCTAAGTTAGTAAGTCAGTTTTTATATTATGACAATGACATGTTTAAGAGCCTCTGGAGCAGTGATTTCTTTAACCTCTGACTCAAATGCCTTTCAAAGGAACACAGCAAAACTCTTTGTCCCATGTTACCTGCTTGTGAGGGCAATTACTTGGTAGGAAATTGTGGCGGCGTTGCTTAAAGAGGAGAAAACCTGACAGCTGTCAGAAGCTGCTATTTTGCAAGGCAGTGTAAAGAACTGTTATTCAGAACAAAAATGCCTGTCCTGTGGAATTAATTGCCATAAGATGACACCAAAAAAAGATGGGCAAACTGACTTGTTTTCCTCATTTCATGTCTTTGTGATGTTCCTGAATTTGATAGTTTCTTCTTTGCTGCATTTTCTGGCATTCACACACTTTTCTGGTGTTGTGTGTGTTTCTAATGCTTCTGGCCAAGGCAGGAAATGTTGATGAAATATTTGAAAATACTGGTCAATCGCAAATGGAAAAAAATATCACTATACTGACTTGAAAATAATGAGATTCAAAAGAAAACCCACCTATAAATAAGTTGTTTTTGTCTGCTCTCTCTGTTTAGACCTCTCATATTTCACTCTGGACAGTCATAGGAGATTGTTGAACATTGTGAAATTCTCTGATATAATTAGCAGCAATTTAATGTAATATCAACATGCTAGTTTTAAAGTTGCAGAGTAATCAAACCTTGGAAATGAATGGGGCATTTTATGCCTCTCCAAGCTCGTGTTTCAGGCTCTATGCAAACTCAAATACTACATTAATTAAGGTATTGCTTGTGCTTTTGGTGATTATTTTGTATTTATTTAATATGTTGATGATAATGATGGTGTGAAGAGGGGGAATGGGCACACTGTCATAGCTGATCTTCATTTCTTAATAAAGACTTAAATTTTGAGGGAGAATTTTTTACAAAGAGTAAAATTCAGTGTCAAGTTCCTCAGTGACAGAATTATGGAAATATGTGTCTCCTGAAAACAGACGCAGTAGGCTGACTTGGAAACCTCGGCTGAATTGTCTTTAAAGACTTCAGTCAGACTTTGTGTTTTAAGATCATTGTGTAATCAGTACAGTTTCACTGCACAGAGTCAATCACTTCAGAATCTCCTCTGCTTCCTGGGTTTTATTTTAAGACGTCACTTAGAAACATACACTTCCCAGCCTTTACAGTCCAGTTAGGGTCTGAAAATCCTGAATGCCAGGAACAGTGGTACCAGTCTTTAAAGTGAATCAGGGGGGAAAAAAAGCCTCTGTAATCAGCAAAAAAACCCCAAAACTAAGAAAACAAAAGCTTATTTACTTAAAGAAAAAAAATCCTAGAACTCCTGGTGTCTTCAAACTTCATAATTTAGTTTATCAACTGTCAATAACCAAACTCATGTTTCTCTTTTCCCAAGAGCTGATTAAAGCTGTGGTCTCCTCCTGTAATTCATGACATTCCATTGTGTTTGTTTCTCCTGGAATTTTCAGGCTGAATTACTGTAACTAATATACCACTAACTCCGTACTGCAAGAACCCTGACCTTTTGAATCTCTCCTTCTTAGCAGTAAATTGGCATAGAAAATTTCAACACAATAAATGCCTTTAACATTTTACTTTATCTTGATCCAGAAACACATATACACCATCTTATTAAGTTAGTTTGCCACCAGTATCAGGTTGGCTTAGAGAGTTCAGAAGATGAGGAGATAGGAAAAGATGAACTATTCCATTTGCAGTGGATTAGCAATAACCAAGAAAAGGCCAAAAACAGAGTCCTTTTGGCCTCACTTTAAAATGGGACCACACTTGTGTACAGATGACCATCACCTCGGTGTGCTTACATGCTGGTTGAATCAGTTTAGGAAGTCCACGTTGCTGTTGAGGCTGCTTTCTTTTTTCCTTATGGTGCGAGGCAAATGTTGGTATTTTTCAGGCTGTAGTTCTGTACTACATTGCTCTTGCCGACGCATCCTACACAGAGATGAAAGCAAGAAGCTTTTGAAAAGGGTGGCAAAAAACATTAAGTGAAATTATCCTTGGCCAGGGACTTCTCTGCCTTCTGGGCAGCTTTTTTCATGCAGAATGACACATATTTCCTTGTGAGTTTTGGATAGACTGTAAACATGGTGTGTGGAGGAACAAATCAATGACTTGAACCTCTGTATGAAAAAGCAGTACCCAAATGATACTGGCTCTCTGTGGCAGCACAGAACTGCAAGATCCCTTTGCAGAGTAAAACCTTGCTCAGCATGTGGCATGGAAACTTCAAAATAAAGCTGAGCTGCCACTGGAGGACCTCACTGTACAGGACCAAGAATAACAATATGCTACATTTTTCCTAAAGAAGTAGTTTCTGACACCTTCCTCTTTAAGCTGGAGCTGGTAATTTCATGTAGTAATATGGATAGGACATTAGTCATTAGTTTTCCCCCACAACTTTTCTTTGTTGCTGATCCTCCTCCTCAATATACCCATTTTTCAGTGCTGACTTCAATGTTATAAAATATTTAGCTTTTTGATGCTAGACCAAATTAAAAAAATAGACCACAGCTACTTTACAGCTAGACTAGACAAATTCTTGTACAGATGGATGTTATGAAAGTAAACAGATAAATCACTTAACAAAATTAAAAATATTAAGATTGTTGACCAACAACAAAAATTCATTATTAAATACAGGATGTTCAAAATTATACATTAAACAGAATTTAGTATTTAAGGGAAAGCTTTTTGTAGCCTTTTCTTTGTTTATACATTTAGTTAGAACCGAAGTGAAAAGCAGGTTTTTTAATGAGTCTGCTCTCTGAGAAGAGCAATGTAGCTGAATTGAAATACCCACATTCTTTCTGCCTTTTTTTTTTTTTTAATAGGTTATTATGTTCTAAAACCACAATGAAAAATATCTTATTCTAAAGTATATAATTACCCTCTGTCACTCTCAAATCTCCTCTGGTTTCTGAGCTCATTTAATAACAGTGAACAGATGAGCAAAAGTTACAAATGAAGGTACTATCAATTTGATACTCAGCACATAAATACCTATAATGATAGTGTGCTTGTCGGCATCCATTGTTTCCAGTCCTACCCATTTTCTATTTCTACAGGGAGTTCCATCATCTTATGCAGACAGTAAGAGGCAAACATGAATTTCAGACCAGGCAAAAAGGGCCCCAAGAATCAGAGAGTGTGTATAACGGTCTCTGGATTCCCCAAGGTTTTAGATTACTGGATCAAGAAGTTTTACCTTGAAGGTGAAAGATTCACATCTGCAAAGACCAAATCTGGCAAATCCAAATTGATTTGCCTACTAATAAGAAGCATGTTGAAAGGGTGAATTTGGCCAAAAGGTACAGGCTTACCTGTAGTCTGTCAAGAGCCCATTTTGGATGTCACATTCCACTTAACCAGTTTCATATCTAAATGTACACACCACAGCAAAGAAATGTTCATAGAAGTGCAGTGGAAATCTCTGATGATGACTATGGGTTGATTCATGGACAGCATTATGTTCTGTGAGAAGGAGGGAGTGAAAGGATGTAAGTTCAAGTGTATAAAACAAAGAATTCCTCATTATCTCCTTTACAGATATTTTGACTTATTATTATTGTTGAAATAGTGGTTCTTGCCACCTCTTAAACCTCCTGGCAGCCACCATGCAGTTGTAGGAAGTATTTAATAGTAAATATTAGAATAGTGGTGGGGTTCTAGTGGGCTGTTCCTCTGATAGCTGTGGGCGTGTTTTGTTTGTTGTCTATGTATCACCACAAATTACAAAGCTTCATTGGTATATGGAGTTTTTTAATATGCTCCGTGTTCGTGCAGGGCTGGTGAAACTGTGGTGGAAGGAACAATGTTGCATGCAGCCTTGTAGGCTATGTGTAGGTGTAACACTTTAGCCCATGGATTGATTCGCAAGGTTCTGTCAGGGCAAGGGCTTCCATGTGCCATTTCAAGCGTCCTGGTCTATAGAGGCAGGCCTGGAGAGGACTTTGGCCTCTCACGTCACCCTGTGAGTGCTGTACAGTTTTGGGGATTTTCTCACTTTCAGACATGCTAAATTTGCATCTGTATCCTACAGTCTGTTCTAAGAGGAAGCCCTAAGCTGCACTCCAGAGTTTGCTAGAAGTGAAGAAACATAGCAGACTCAGATTTATTTTGCTTATACACTTTAGATCCAATGGGTTTGGTGACAGAGGGACCATGGGTCACACATATGGATGTGCCTGGACCCTACCACATCCTAGGCCTCCCTTGCTAAAAGTACTTCTTGTGCCAGACCTCAGGTTTCCCCCATCCAGTAAGGATACAAGGTGGACCAGGGAGGGCAATTGGCAAGTTATTGGCCTCAATTCCAGTGGAAGCTTTGTGGTCCATGTAGGCATGGGCAAATACACACATCATTTCTCCTATTGATCCTCTGTTTTCCTGAGCCTTTCACTTCAGATGAATACAGGCTCTGAATCTTCATGGATCTAACCCTGCTCCTTTTTACTGGTAAAGCACCGCACTGTTCTCTGCTTTTAATATATTCATTTCTTAACATTTTAAATGAAAAAAAAATTTACACTGTTCTGTGTAACATTTGAAACATCACTATTTACAGCATAGGCTTCTCCAAATGGGTTGCACTGATGTTGCCCTGAGAAAGCACAGTACAGATGGGGCAAGGCTAGGCTGTGACATTTTTTATGAGCAGTGGGAAAATCCCCTCAGGGCAATCATTTGCTTTGCTACACACAGACATTCCAGGGCAGAGTCAACAGCAGTCTCTAAAACTACCTTCCTCCAGAATGCATCCTTGTTATTGGGATGTAAAATGTAGGGCTTCATCAGTGCTGTATAGGCAGTGCCCCCATAAAAATACGTATCCATTATTTGTTTGTTTGTCTAAGGAGATATCCTGTGTATCGTAGTTCTGAAAGGAAATCCAGATTGTCTGGGTTGTTTGCCTGATGGTATTTTCCATAACTGAAGGTATTTTTCACTTGCTTTTAGTAATAGCCCCTTAAAATATTTGCTAAGCTGCCCAGACTCCTGGCAGTTAGAAAATAATATGGCTGTGTTCTGATTGAACTTGATCTTTCAATTGAAACCTGCCCCTGTTCTCTATCTGTCATTTCTTTGGGTATCAGGACTTCAAGCTTGTGAATTCTATTGTAGGATTACATAAGGGTGTCTCAAAGGATCAGGCTGTAAATATATCCTTGAATTTTGGTAAGACAAGGACAACGGCGAGCCCTGCCCAGCAGCAGTCCTGCTGCCAGCCCTTGCTTCTGCTCCTTCACTGTGAGAGTTCCTGTGTGTGGGGATGCACACATGTGCATGTGTGTGCATGTGCCTCCACAGGAAAGTGAGTTATTATGTTCTTCTTTCTCTATATTCTACCAATTTTATTTTAATTTCATGAGGTGCACAAGACTGATGTGGATAATAAACTATGAGTTATATTCACAAAAGAGGAGGAGGAATAGCAGCCTTTATTCTGTTTTTCTGTCTATGTACCTTCTTTCACTTTGTATCTGCATTCATTTTCTTCAGATCAAGTATTTTTTTGTAAAAGCATTCTCTGCTTTTTTCTGTGTTAGTTTTATAAGAGAACAAGCTCTTTGGCCACTTATATGAGTTGGAGTGAAGGTTAAAAGAATGAATACTCTGTTTGCCTAATTCGATAAAGTCTCTTTTCCATATCTGTTGTATTATAATCCATGTCTGATTAGGTTGTTGGGACTAGATCCAAACTCACACCCTCATTGTGCAATCCAAAACCAGCCCAGGTGGTAAATTCCTGGTCCCAAGGCCCAAAAGCCACAGACTGTGAGTGCTTGCTGCTATGCAAATACTCCTCATTGATCCCTTGTTTCCCCCGTCCCCTTTCATTGCAAGTTTTGACCAGGTGCAAAATGCTGTCACAAGCTCTATCAGAAGAACGTCTCATTTGGCTCTGTCCCTGCTGGTTAGCACAGCAGCAGCAGTGGCTCAGCTCTCAGTGTGAAAAAGGTAGTCGCACTACATGATTTTTGTGCATCCATCCGTTCCTGCTGTGAACAGCATGAACTGCAGTGCTTCAATTCAGATGTAATGTATGGGACAGCAGACTCTGAGACTAGATGAAATAAAGGAATGTGTTATGTTTTTTATTGATTGAATAGATGTCCAATCAATATAAACCTGAGGCCAGATGTGTGTTGTTTCTGAGCCCAGGGATTAGTATCACAACTGTGAATGCCACAATCAAATTCTCACTGATTTTATACAGCACTTAAAAATAACTTGCAAAACCACAAGGTGATATTAGTTTCCTATAGATCTTTTTTCTTATTAGTTTTTAGGTTTAATTATATTCCTACTTGTTCTATACCTCTCCCAGGCCTGCCTCCCCAACACCTGTGTACAAATGATGTACACAGTATATTGAAAGGGCCCAGAGGTGCTTTGCAAGTTGTGAACTTGATTCTCTCTTTTAAGCCATTACCTTTTCACTTGTGAAGGGGTGTGAGGAGCCAGCTAAGCCAGTGTCTGGTTGTGTCACATAACTGCACCAATTCAAGGCATTTGAAAGTAAGAGAAGGTTTGGTGCTTCAGATCTTAATGTCCTTTTCTCCAAAGAAAGGGTCTTCTCCATCCCCATCATAGAAATGAACCTAGAGAGACTGCGAGAGTTAGTGGCCTTTATATGTATGCACACATGGGAGAACAGATGCCAGATTAAAAAACAACAACAATAACCAACAACAAAACCAAACAAAAAAACAACTGTGAAAAAGGATGGGAAAAGTCATCTGTTTCGATGACCTTCCAATTCTGCTGTACTGGTTCTCCAGGGGACATTGCTGTCAATGGCATTTACATCTCTGAACTGAAGTGGGTATGTGGCCATGAGATGAAGACATTCATCTCCTCCTTGAAATTGTTAGTTGACTCAGTTCCCCCAGTTCCTGTTTGCAACAGAGGAGTGTTGGTTTCCCAGAGCATTGGTAAGACCTAGTTTTTGTTTTCTGCAAAATATAAGAGCACGAGAGAACTGTCAGGGTTAATCATGATCTTCAAACACAGCGAGAGGCAGCGTTACAATGAACAGTTGATCAGCAGTTCTGGGATGAACACCAATCAGTCCAAATGAGGGTGGAGAGAGCAGGACAAGACTGTCATGACTGCACTGCATGACACAGAGGCATGTCCCAGGCTGGCCTGTGCTCAGCAGGGACAAAAGCCTCATCTTCCCCTTGGTAAAACTGTTGCCAGGTGCTAGCCAAGGCAAGGTACAAACCGATTTTCTGTCTTTCAGAAAGGAAGAACAAAAGATAGAATTATGTTTTACAGGCAGTTTCAGCAGTGAGTGAAATCTGCTACTACTGATGTATTTGATTTTTCTTTTAATTATCCCACAGTTCTTATGTTATGTGACCCTGTCTCCTGTGCTACAACAGATCCTTAGTACTCTCCTTTAGATAATTCTTTCAGAAATCTTGTTTTTCCATATAAAGAAACCAATAAACACATCTGTTTGGGTGGAAAATCCAAACTCATTGTGCAAGTCCAGGTAAAGTTTGCTTTGTAACAACGACCAGATTTTGCCAACTGAAACTTGTGTGTGTCTAGTATATCTGAAAAGAGCAGTTCTTGCTAGTTAGAGTTAACACTTTGACATCCCATTTTACTCAGGGGAAAAGAAAAAGAGTTTAAGCTTTATTTGAAAAAGCTCTTCAAATATGGTTTATCAACTAGGAAAGCACTCAGCTATCATTTGAGATTATAAGGTTTGTGCAAGTTTGCATATCAATAAATAATAATACATCTGCCATTTCAGGTCTTGTTCCTGGGAGCTGGAGTGGAAGAGCATATATTGTAACCTCTGCAGTTTTGCTTTTGCCTGAAGCAAGATCCTGGCTCCTGCAAGAAAGCAGTGGCAAATCTTGCATGAGTGTAGTGACACAGGATTTCATCTCAGATTTTCAGTATTACAGTGGGCATCATGCACTGATGACCAGAGTCTGTCTCAGTCTCCATAGTATTTACAATTGTTATCTATTGGGATGAAGTTCCAGTGTTCTCATTACCAAAGAAAATCCTTCTGTTCGATTTATTAACGCTGAGGGTAAAAATCAATCGTATGGTGCCTTTCCACCCAAGCAGAACATGTATATGCATGAGTGCTCCACATCTCACCTGATCTAAGGACTGGATGAGTGGGAAAGTACACATTGCTTCCAGAACAGCGAAACCTCTGTTTTAACACCAAAACCTCTTCGATTTCTTTCTGACACTTTAGAGCTAGATTACCAATTGTAATGAGCCTCTGAGTGCTGAGGCATTAATGGCCCTCATCAGCTTCACCTGAGGCTTCCCCTTACACGCCCTGCCCACAAAGTCTTAGAGTCATAGCATGGGCCCAGGAGTTCTATTTAAGCTCAGCCCTGGCTAGCCCAGCTTGCTTCTTAAAAATAATAGATTTTGTAAATCAGGAAACAAACAATCCACGTGGGAAAAGAAGCACTTAAGGTCAGATTGAAAGATTCTTGTTAAAGGAGTAGAATTAAATTATGGAGAAGGTTAATGTAATATAGAGTAAATATTTCTGGAATTTTTTTTGTTTGGTTTTTTTTGGTGCCTTTTTTCCCCCTCTATTTTTGTCTGTTTGTTTATTTGTTTGGAGCTGTTTAAAACATTTTAAAAACCGTTTGGTTTTTAACTTGTTTACATTTAAACTGAAAAAAATCGTGATGTCTAGATAACGCTGTGAAGAAATAGTTGTGTCAAGAGTGGTGTTTGTCTGCAAATACCTCATCTGCTGGGGGAATACGGGGAAGAGGCCAGTAGTGCCAGGATCTCTTTACCTTCCCCATTGTTCCTACCTACAGCAGGAGCTCTGTGGAAACTTGAAGGCTCCTGACCTGCACTCTGAGGCCACTGTCAACTCTTTCCAGATATTTTTTTTTAACTGAAGGCTAAATTCACTCTTCTTTACAAGTTCAAGAATACAGTGTATTATACACTCTGAAAATGGTTTCTGTGTGTGAGTTTTAGCTTCTGGTATCTTTCCAATTTCTTCAGACTGTTGCTTTACAGAACAGTACTTTGCAGTATCCTCATCTGCTGCCTCCCTAGCTGTTTTTCAATAATCTTCTAGGCTGATGGTTCTGAACTTTCTTCATTAGCAACCAAGTGTTTGCTAAAGACCCACTGAGAACGAAAGGAAGATGAGAGTAGAAATACTTTTTTGAAGTATATTTCCATTTTTCACATGTAACTGTTTTAGCGGATGTTGGCCTTAAAATATACAACTAACATAAACCCAAAGCAGCTACAAGAAATAAATTTCTCACAAAGAATGCCAATCTACAGAAACATTACAATGAGCTAGAACATGTTTTTTTAATCACAAATACCCCAAACAGCATGCAATTGCCTTATTTCTGTAAAACGCTTATAACTAATGCATTGTCAGTTAAAAAAAAAAAAATCCAAATTCCTAAAAATCATTTTGAATTATTAATTATAGCCACCTGTTTAAACTGCATGTCTCAAGACCCTAAGGCAGCAGGATCTGCAAGAGAATAATTCACTGAAAACAATAGTATCCATATGAAGTCAAGGTGAACATTAGCTGGAAACTAGCAAATGCTGAGGAGTTTATCCAAGACTTGCAGCTTGGCCAGTGGCACAGACGTGAAAACTGATGATGTTTTCAAGGCAGGTACCTTAGTGGTGCAGCGTTGTCTGAATGGTGGCTGAGTGGCTTCGTTTGTTACCCCACTGAATGTTCCAGGGGAATAAAACTCTACCTGTCTGTCAAAGAGCCACCCTTTGGAATTCTTGGATCCCAGGCTGGGCTCCTGTGTTCTTCCAGGCTTTCTGAATTTATTAATGGCTGAACATTACTCATCCTGCTGGGAAACAAGATGGAGTTTCTTCACTGTATGTAAAGTGCCCTTTTTTGTTGTTATTGTTGTTGTTTTGCAGGTACTTTGTATCTAGTCAGGGTTATGTGATTTTTTTTTTTCTTCAGTGATAATATTTGTGTGGTGTTTTTGGCGTTTATGACCTGAAGGAAGAAACACAGCAATAAATGTGCCTGCTGGGCAAAATTTGCTTAAAATCTTTTCTCTTTGATATTGGCTACTGATTTTCCCTGTGCAGAGGGGGCTGCATCATTTATTGATACATTGATACCTACAGTTCATTGACTACCTTGATTTAGTAGCAGCAAAAGTGGTTTCTATGAGACAGAAATGACTTAGTGTGAGGAAAGGAGGCCTGATGGATTAGCCCAAAGAACAGCAGAAGGCAGAAAGACTGGGCAAAACTTTCTTTGTAGTGTTACTTACTCTAAATTCTAGTTGACTTTATCAATAAGTTTGTTTTAATTTGTACTAGGCTGGAGAAAATCCCATATTTCAGAAACAGAATGGATGAGAAGGGAATCATCTGAAAGCTTATTTGATGTTTGAATGTTCACTACAGCAACAACTGTCAGCATAGAAAAGGAAACACGACTCTATTTATTGTACATAAACCTTCAGTAAAGTGGTTCTTATTGTTCTTGAAAGGCAAAGTTTAGCTTGGTTACTTGTGTAACAATGCAGAAGCTATTCCTGATGCCACTGTAGAAATGGGACTTTTGCTATTGGTACGTGGAGGATTCAGCCCTGTTTCTGAATCTTCTTTACCATGTTGAGTTGATCTCAGATTCAGAACAGGTGATGGGCCAAAAGAGGTTGTCAAATGTTTTAAATGCATGAAAGAAGAGATAATAAGTTTGCAGATCATTCTAAATGTTCTGAGAGTCTGGATTCTGCCTTGTGTTTTGGAAATGTTTTCCCAGACTTGGAAGCAGACTGGTCTGGAAGAATGCACAGAAGAGGGAATCAGGAATGACTGTGGAACCTGCCAGTGACCGGCTGTGTAGCCTTGGGCAATCGTTCAGCTCCTTGTCTCTTTCTCTTCTTGCACTAATTGACCCTCTGTGCATGTGGAGGGTAAGGAGCTGGGAAGCAGCAGGGCAGGATCCTTACTGTCTTTCTCAAGTCTGCCTTCATGCAGGACAGAAACGGGACTCTTTGCAGGCATTTGGTTCCTCCCGAGTCCAGGAAAGGGCAAGAGCTGCCCTGGCAAGTTCAGTGTTAAGACTTTACAATTGCAGCAACTAGATCTCCACATATCCCTAAGTGTGTCAGATTTGTTTCCTCTTACAGGTGTAGGAAGTAAGAGGTGACTTGAGAGGTTCTCAGTTGTGCTTTCATGATGTAGCAGGATGAGTCTGGCAGACTTGTTTTCCTGGGTTAATAATGTGCTTCAGAAAACCCCACCCAAGAAATCTCTGTAGAAAGAGAACTGGAGCAAAACTACATCTGTAGCCCAAGCCTCTGAGTGCACTAACCTTTAGACCATCCCTTAAAATGGGAGCTAATGAGATTTGAGCTCCACCAGATATTAATAAGTAAGTGCTCATGTAAAAATTGTCAAATAACACTACTACATCTCAGAGGTTAAGTTCTGTTATTTGTTTTGTAGCTTCATCCCTACTAAGCCTTAACCCACATCTGGCAAAACTGTTCCCAGACCACTCTGGCTCTTGTTGTGTGGGGCATATATAACCCTTCGTATCACTGCTGAGTCTGGGTCATTCTTGATAATTTAAGGCCAGATTTCAGCTGGTGTGGGCTTGCTATCTTCAGTGACTTGTGCTGTAGAGGGAAAGAATAGGTCCAAACTTGGATATGCAAATGCATTTCATCCACTTTTATAACACTGAAATGTGTCATATGGACTATTCATAATTTTGAGCAAATCTTGCTTTATGTGCTTCTAAGTATCTGAGAGTTACCTAGCACCTCTATTTCCAAACTCAT